AATTGAAAAATAATTTAACTCTCCTCCCTCTACTACATACAGAAAAGCCGAGTCATTGATAATGTTGTATGAATATAAGAAAAAAGAATTGAGAAGGAAAATAGGTGAGGAGAAAACCAGATTTTTAACTGGAGGTGGAGCGATGCCTGTTATGAAGTGCGGGCCTAAAGTCGCTCTCCAAATGTCCTTCCCCAGACTCCACAGGGGTCTAAAAGAAGACCGAAACAAGTTGTGACGCTTCTTCATGATATTGCCTCTAAATACAATCTACTCGTAGACAAAATACTGACTTATTGAAAAGACAAAAGCTACAGGTGAAAAGCAAGAATTTATAAAAATGGAAAGAAAAATTAAAATAGATCTGCTTCAGTTAAAAATTTCCAATCAAAAACTAAATTTAAATTCCAATGCCTTACAATGAGAATTATTACTTTGTGTTAAGATACTATGTTACTTTTTTTCAATGCAATAGAGATACTGTAGCAAAGCTTTAAAAAGTATGTAGTTTTTCCATATATTGTGTGTTTATTATCCAGATGTTTTATAAAGAACTGAAATAGTTATCTATCAGATGTTGGCGAAAATTAAGTGGGTCTTGATCAAAACTCACTGCATGTACATGAGGAATGTCTCCTTGTAAAATTAGGTAATCCTGATCTTGACCATTGAGTTCTTTTGGATAGGGAGGCAAATCCTCTAGCATATTCACGGCCATATTTTGCTAGCACAGCAGTAGCAACAATTGTAGCGTTATCTAATCGACACCGACTACCAGAGTCTAATCCTGGGAACCGACGTCGCCACACACAAATTAATGTTTCTTCTACATTGCACATAAGCTTCATTATAAAGATTTTCGACAACAAAGCCTGAATTTTGTAGAGGTGTCATTCGGAGGACTTTCGGCTAGTAACCACTATCTCCCAAGAGCACCGCGTTCTGAAATTGTCTCCCTTCAATGCGTGTTCTTAGGTGGGAGGCATTGAAAATAGTTGAATCATGGGTAGATCCTGGCCATCGAGCATCAATATCAAATATTCTCAAATCTGGCTCAGCAGCTATTTGAGTATTTATAGAAAAATATGACTTTCTATTATGAAAAACTTCTCCACCTTGAGCTCCTGGTGACTGTATCTTTATGCGCTTCCCGTCAATGCATCCAATGACTCGTGGAAATCTGCAGATCCTATAGAAGCCATTCTGAACTCTTATTATTTCATCAGCTTCATTGGGCATTCTGATATATTGATTTGATAAACCTGCTATTGCTCTTGAAACTTTTGCAATTATACGGGATGCTGTTGTCTGATGCATGCTAATAAAGTCTCCAATACAATTTTAATGTATATGTACATTGCAGGCATAAAATCGTAGGCTATTATTCCTGGTAAAACAAAAATTTTATAATGACTGAAATCTTGGAAATACCTAATGGGATTCAGATCCACAGCCAGAGGAAAAGGCGTTTAAAGACCTTCTTGCCTAAACTTCAATTCTGGACAAGGAAATTGATTATCGTAATTTAATATTTGGTAAAAATACTTACAAATTGTTATCAAACTCGAGTTGATGCTTTATTTGTTCTACCAATCTGAGGGCAGTGTTTTTTTGGAGCCGAAATCTCCTGAAAAACAGTAGCTCGTCCATCTCGTTAAAAAATCTGTACGTTCATAATAGTGTCTTAGAAATCCGAAGCGAATAATATCTAGGATGTCACCATCTTCGTCCAGGGAAATCTCATCTTCGATCTGCATTACTTGTGCAAAAAAGCACTTTTTCGCAAAGACATCAACAACTCGAAATAAGGTTAGAACCCCAATCCGTTAATTTTCGGATTATACTGTCAATACGCTAGGATTACACCTAAACGCGAGTAGCAGCGATTAAATGTATCTGTGCATTATGAAAACGCGGCAATAATCTGGATTAATCATTAATCGTACTTCTCAAGGGACGGTAAATGTGGGCATTAGTAGACAACAGCTTAAGAATTTGCCATTGTTATCGCCTCTCTTACCACCCCTGCCAAGATCCTTCACCTCTCGCTACTAGGACTTCCGTTAAATTTGCCGATTTAAGTATTCCATGACTTATTTGCTTTATCAGTGGTGCACCTTTTGTGATAAATCATTCGAAGGTCTTTTCCGAACCACACTATCCGCTACTTAATCGCATTTTGAATTCGAAATTGTCACCACCTCCATCTTCTCAGGGGCTAGCTCCAACCCATTCTGTTCCATCCATATGGCAATCCTAATGCTCCCAAATATCAAAACATTTTACAGCTCGTCTCTGTACTTGCTAGTTACTATCAGCGTGAGACACTATTATGCTGATTATTGGCAGCATCTGCAGCTGAAAAACTCTATCTGTCTAGAACACACTCCAAAGCAACGGCTCTAGGACGGAGATCTGAGGCATTCTCATGGCCACCTTCATCATCTGTTGTGGTACCTAAAATGGCTCTTTATCCTGTTCAGGAAATATCTAAGGGTATCTAGCCTCTCGGGGAATCCAAGTTACTGCCGTTGTTGGCATTGTTAAAACGAAAGGCAACCATCATACAAATCTTCAAACTATTGTAACTGCCACTGTCCGCTGCTTCTCCAGCTACGTCACCGCACTAGATGCCTCTACAGGGGCAGTAAATTATTTTCAATTTTCATCTCACATTACGCGTAACAAAGCTACAAGTACTGGTGTAGTCTGAACTAGGCTTTAATGTGGAGAGCGCATCCGCCCGTTTGATGCGATTTATCAGCTAGAGAGCTGTCGATGTAAAGTCAATACCCGTTCACCCGTATTTCCATTCGCATTTATATCTTTGACGCTGCCGATTGCTTTAGCACAGCGCTATTGCACCATTTGCGTCATGCTGCATGCTTTTCACGCTATTTTGCTTGGGAGAGCCTTCTACCCAGCATGGCGACGGCTCGACACTTGAAGGACGTTGGCCATGCATTTTATCTTTCTGGAACGGTTTCGCGTCCGTTAACCTTAATCTTGTGGTATTATTGCTTTGATCAGCTCATTACATTAACCGGAATATGTTCGACGAGTGCAATGTCTTGAATCAGATGCATCAATAATTTCTTTTTTAAATGTATTTTTGTTGCATCTCATAACTGATGTTAGTACATTGTAAAGAAACAAGTTGGCTCTGATGTCTGTATTATTTAAATTACACATGAGCTCGAATGTCTCGAATTTGAAAAATATCGAAGATTTTTGAATTCTTGTTTCTTTTCCTTATTAGAAGCGAATATATGTGACTTACAGTTAGAACAATTTTTGGGAAAAAAGTTCTAATAACGATGGTAAGCGGTAAGCAAGTATTACATCCTTGATTAACATAAATACCTATCCTTATAATTATTCGAATAATTTTACTTCCCCCGCGTACTGGCGAGGAAGTATTGTAATAGCGGAGAGTTTCGAAAATGAGGTATGTTGTATGGATGATATATGACATGAACGTACATCATTACAGTGTTGTAATCAATTTGTTAAAAAATAAAATAAATTTAATTTCATTAAATCACAAGTATGAAACAAGAAGTCGAAGATATTAAAATAACACCATTTACAACTAAAAGTGTAGGTCGAAGATGCTTTGGTTACCTCTTCACTAGATTTTTTAACTTTTTATGAAGCCATATAAAATCCATTTCAAATAAAAATAAATTCAAAACTGAAGCAAGAAAATTCTTGTTATCTGATAATTGACATGAAATTGCAAAAACCACTTAAATGACAGTTAATTAAGTTTTGAATATGCATAATGTGATTACACTTACCTTTATGGTTATATGTTGTGCTTAAATTTCTGAATTGTATTTAACTATGTTCAAAGCAAAAGTTGTTATGTTTTCCCACGCACAAGAATGAAATTCTTCTGTGGGATTACTTCAGTTTATTTGCGTTTATTTTGAATAAATTGTAATAGTTTATACGTGAATAAACTTATATTATTATTATTATTATTATTATTATTATTATTATTATTATTATTATTATTATTATCAGGGAAAACCTTGTCCCTCATTTTCATCGGTCTGTGCTAAAATTCTTAGCCCATCCTTGACTTGGAAGTTTTTACACAAGGTTACTAATTATAAAAATACAAAATCGTTAAAACCTCGTTTTTTGTCTTTTCTGAGGATCCTGGTCATTCTTGAAAAACATTTAAAGGGTAAAGGTGTGGATGAGGGTGTTTGTATTGGGTTGGGGGGGTGTATAGCAATTTGTTGGTGTTAGTATATTAATACACTTCCAACCCCGGTGATTCTGCACACCAATTAGACATGTGTTAGACATCATAGATTTCCCCTTCATTTGTCCTTAAAACTATGAAAAATGTTTTCAACACACATCCCTCCCCGATAGCATTAAATATATATTAAATATTTTAAAAAAATGATTGTTAAATATTTGTAGCGACAGATTCTTTAATATGTAATAAATATAATCCTTAAATATTCATAAAATATTATAGATATTTGTAGTATATACAATTCATATAACTTTGCGATATTTTTTCCAAATATTTAGAAGATATATGAGGAAAGATTTTTAAATATCAATTTTATATTTTGATAAAATATCTAATACTTTCCGTAAATATGTATTAAGGAAATATATGAAGCAACAGATTTTCAAGCATTAATGTAATACATATTTTCAATGTATATAGAAAATTCATCATTGGTTATTTCAGCAAAATCTGTAGGAATGCTTTTAGGAAATTGGGCTTATAAAGGAAATTAATTCTAGATTTATTGGTTTAATTTAGCTAGGAAAAGTATTAAAAAAATTCTAAGCCTCTTTTGCATCTTAGAAATCCAGTCACCTGAAAAAAAAACTTACTAATTATGAAATATTATTGAATAAATAAGCTGCTTTCCGGTGGTCTTTTCTTAGAGAGAGATATTCTCCCGACCTACTTTCGAAAGTGTGTTTAAGGGAATATAAAATGCAGTGGAACAATATTGGTACTGATCACTGCTGAGTTACTCCGAGTAGTTCAACTGGGTCACTGAAAAGCAGCTCTATAATGCACCTAAAAGGACCCCACATTTTCTTCCTATGAGAGATCGAGATTCCGTTGATTTAATTAAGAAAATTTGGTATGTTATTTTAAATATCTTAATGAAAAATGTCCATGGGCACGACCTGATCCTTTGACTAACTTTCAAAGAAAATCATTTTAAAAATAGGCCACTTATTGATTTTGTTGAAATGTGACTTTTTTGCAGTAGCAAGGGTGCTAATTTAGCTAACTATTGTGTGATTTTATATTATAACTCAAGGCACAAAAATATAGTATTTTGGACAGTTAAAATTTTGGAACGTTCCTGTTGAACTTAAAAATTTTAAAATAGTTTTAGCTGATTTGTCCCCTACAACGACAAAAAGAACAATAATAATAATGAAAATAATAATTGAGATACTTAAAAAAAGCAGTTTTGATGTAACTCGATCAAGTTGTGATTATATGACTTTTCAATGGGATGTTATCAATATACTTTTCGTATCCATTTTCAGATATATCCACCAATCGCAAATAACTGTTTACACTTCAAGGTTAGTTATTTATGGTCTTGTAAATACCTTTATAATAAACTGGCACAATAATGTTTACTAGTCAGATAAATTAAGGTATGTAATTATCGCAAGACTTAATTTTTTCTACAAAGAACACCCGAATAATGTACCACTTGGAGGTATGGTGTATCTGAAGTCACTTGAAATAGCATAAAAACCTTTGGTCGTCGCGTCCTTTGTAATTTCATGACGTATAATAGGCGTGCGGCATTTATTTAGAACGATAATAATAATGTTTTTATATCACAATAAATGGATTTTACTATCTTCTTATTTTTCTGATTTGGGATAAAAAATACTTATATTGGGAGTTTAATTTATGTTGACTGAAAGTTAAGAAATGGAAAAATTACAGAATTCCAACGTTTGACATAGGCAAATATTTACATAGCAGGTAGGTATATAAAAAGGTATATAAAGACTTACATTATAGGTATTTATATATCATCCTCGCCTTCGGAGCTGTCGCTAGAGTCATCTTGTAGAGGAATTACAACGGGATTTACAGGAGGCAAAACACAATATTCATTTTCTTTTTCAATAATATGCCTAGAACACTGCTTCCATAGGTCTGTGGCAGCAATATGAGATACTGCATCTCTTATTGTGGCCAATAGCGATTCACTTAATTGAGGGGTCTGATTATGTTTTCTTACTTTTTTTTCTAAAGCAGCCCAGACCAACTCAATCGGGTTAAAAATGCAGTAATAGGGAGGTAGACGTAATACTTCATGGCCATTTTGCTGAAGCAGATTGTCAACAACATACTCTTTTTCAAATTTTTGTCTTTTAATAAGATCCAATAATATGGCTTTGGTTGATTTTTGTGGTATTTCCATTCCCTTATCCTTCATAAAATCAATAATGTCTTGTTTTTTTGTGCCTGTATTCGGAATTTTGTTTTTCTGTCGGGAATGGTATGGCGCATTGTCCATAATAATCACTGAATTTGGGGAAATGTTTGGTATTAACTGCTGCTCTATCCACTTTTCAAATAAGTCGGAGGTCATGTCCTCATGATAGTCGGCACATGATTCTTTGAT